TACATATGTCCCAAACAAGGTCGGAATTTGAAGATGAAACAAGAAAAATAGTTTCATCGGCTGCACTGAAGCATAATACCTCTCATAGTTGCTTTTGCAATAGGTGATTAGTGTATAAAATATCTTTATCTTGATTTTTATTGGTCAGTTTGTATAGCAGCTATAGCATGATCCAATATTAATAATTTATACATAGATTATTGCCTAGCCTTGGACAACAATTCAAAGCAAATTTTATCAAGATATCCTGTAAAATCGAGAATTTTTTTATAAAGCACTTAATTCCGATCATTCAGTTTGTATGGTAGCTATAAGCTATAATCGTCCGATATGAACGATTTCTTCGAAAATTACATTAATGCCTTGGGTAATAATACATGCCAAATTTCGTAAAGATATTTCGTCAAATAAAAAAGTTTTCCGTACAAGAACTTTATTTGATTGACCAGTTTGTATGGCAGCTATATGGTATAGTGCTTCGATTTGAATAATTTTTACACAGATTGTGGCCTTGATTTGCGCAATAATTTATGCCACATTCCTTAAAGATATCTTCCTAAATAAAAAAAAAATCTTATATAAAAACTTAATTTTGATCGGACAGTTTATATGGTAGCTATATGCAACAGTGATCCGATCTGGAAAATTTCTTCGAAACTTACAACATTGTTTTAGGTAATAACTTATGCCGAATTTCATAAAGATATCTCGTCAAATAATTAAGTTTTCTATGCAAAAACTTGGTACTAATCATTCAGTTTGTACGACAGCCATTTAGTGTAGTGGTTCGATCTGAATAATTGATAAAAATTATAACTTCGCAATACAGACAATAACCCATGATACATTTCATGAAGGCTTTCCATACAAACACTTTGTTCCAATCGTTCAGCTTGTATACCAGTATACTGTGCCCAAAAAATAAGGTGGCATTTGAATTTAAACTGCGCCCGTCGAAGGATTTGTAGAATTATTTTTTTTAGATTGGTAGTACTGTCAGTCATATTTATGTCAAATTTCATGTCAAAATATGCATTACTGTTTGAGATACGTGTCGTTTTGTGAGCTGCTAAAAGTGAGTTTTTCGTTTTTTGCGATGTCGAAATTTGTTGAGCAAAGAATCTGCAATTAAATGATCATTTCGCCAAAAACTCAGCTCGGCTTGCTGATTATTTATTCATCACTTTTCATACGTTTACAGACGAAGGAAAAACGATATAATTAAAACCACTACTATTGATAAAAAAAAATTGAGTTTCGGTTATAAAATTTTTACACTAATAAATAAATGAACAAATTTTTATCCCTACAGTCGACCACGTTTTGCCATTTTTTTGTTAGAGACATTATTCCATCTTGTAAAACGTTAATCAAAGTGTAAATCACAATTTTCAGAACGGAAGCGAGCGAACCATTATTGTGCTACACGAACAGCATCGTGCCCATAAGCTTCACAAGTTTCATTGGTGGCTTGCGTGGCATTCTACCCTTTTTTTTATATAAAAATTTCAAAATACATATAGCGAATTCCTCATTACTTTCACTAATATTTGAATGGCTGTAACTTTTTTTTTTAACTTTTCAGAATTTTGTTGAATGAAGTTTAAAATCTCACCTTTCTAACACCATATGGTGTGACACAAGGTGTTTGGAGATATACGACTGCAACGACATCTGTTGACAAAATTCGGAAAGACTTTTTAGACTACCCAATATATTGGTTACCATACACGCATATTGAAACAAAATTAGCGTTTTCTTTATAGAATGGTTATATTTTGGTTAGTACATCTGACAACGATTTTCAATTTTTGTTTTTTGATGATACGTTGTTTTGCATTTTTGTGGACGATGTGTACTTTATAAAGTATCTGATGATTCCTTTTGGGGCAAAATTAATATACCCTGTTCGGTGTGTAAAAATAAACTCCAATAAAAATATCCATATCTCATTACAATGGTTTTTGAATATGTTTAATATCCTTTGACATATAAAAGTTGCATCTATAATTTTTTTTTTTTTTAATAACCAAAAGCAATGTAAAGAAAATCTGCGTAGAACATCTATGGCTGAGCAATTTTCTTATTGGTACTGCTGCGGGAAGGTCAATAAATTTACGAGTCCTTGTCCACTGTCTTCCTCTACCGAAATACCTTCGTAATCACTGCTTTGTCGAAATTAATCGAAAATAGCTTAGCATATTTCGTCTCAACGTGTGTTAGAATGGTCTCTAATTGCGATCTCTCAAGCCAACATCAAGTAATAGCTAATTTTAACAGTACATGCTTTCGTAATAATTACATTATAAATTTGGTCAACTCCAATGAAGGCTCCGGGGCGTCCTGGTTCTGTTCGGACTCTAAGAGACATTCCAACTATTCATTCTCAGGCCCCAAAAATAAAATAGATAGTAATCATTCCATTATTTTGTAAGATTTTTGTATTGAAACAACACATGACAATATTTTATATAATTTTTGTTGGATTAGCAGTATTTATGTTGTGTTCAAGCTTGATATTCTGAAATTCAGTGTAGTTATGCTTTCTAACTATGAATAATGCTTAAGAGATTGCATGTTTGAATATTGTAAGTTGAATTAGTTACTTGTTACTCTCTATCAGACATGGAAAATATCTATGCACCACACATTTTATCTTTAATTGGTATTATATGATGGCTTTGAAGAATATTTTCATTGTAGAATTGGAAGCTTTTGTCCTAAGTTAAGTTATTTATATAAATAACATTAACTTGTTTTTGTTGTGAGCAGAAGATATTTACAAAATAGTTTGGAAGAATGCTGCAGAGTTCACGGATGGCCTTGCCTCTAAACGTATTTATTGTAGAACCTTTTGCACACTATACAATCACAACTTATGTTTTAAGAAAAATGTCTTTATTTCATATCCAGAACAGATTTTATTCTGATATCTTTCATTATAAAAAAAAAGAGTAAATAATAAAAAGCATAGGAGCAAAGCGAATAAATTTTTATCGGTGGAAACACCACCTACGACTTTTCAAATATACCTTTTGAATAAATATTAGCCCTTAAAAGGTTGCATGGGTTTTCTTGGGTAAAAAACAGCATTTTTCAACAGTTTTTTTCTCATATAATAAATAATATATTTTATTCGATTTTTTATTGTTACAAACATACACTACATATTAACCAAGCAATTCTGAAATTTTTGGAAAACACTATTAAAAAAAATTTCATCTAAGTCTTTAAGAAATGTTAAATTTCATTAAGAACGGTTGAGTTGTTCTTGAGAAATCTCGCCAACCGAAGGACAATAAAAAAATTTGAGTTTTTGAAATCCGTAAATCCATGTAACCCCTTAATAGTCGTTATTTGCTTGCTCTTGTTTCATAACAGAAGATCAATGCTTATTCATTCCCCAAACATAAAAATTACCATCTAACATCCTTCAATGCCTGAAAATCTAAGAAATAGTTTATGTATGGAAGCAAATGTGTTTAGAAATACCTACGCTTAAAGAGTTTCTTTTATTTTTAATATGCTTATAATATTAGGTTGTCATAAAAGTCTTGCGATATTTTCGCTAGTTGGCGCTGAGAGCGCGTAGTTCTAGTTTTATTCATCGCATCGGGTCATGCTATACCTTTTTGGAAAGCTCATTTCACGCGATAACACGTGTTTGATTGATTCTCGTTTCCTTTAAGTCGTTCGTGAGTTATAGCGTCGCAAACATGGAGCAAAATAAAGAGAAAATACGGCGTATTTTACAGTACTACTACGATAAAGGCAAAAATGCATCTCAAGCCGCCAATAAAATTTGTGCAGCTTATGGACCCGATACAGTTTCCATTTCCACCGCACAACGATGGTTTCAACGTTTTCGTTCTGGTGTAGAGACCGGCATAGTAGGTAGCAGCCGTAGTATCGGTCAAGAGATGGGCTTGAATCATCAAAAAAAAAAAATAATAATTTATGAACAATTGAAAAATCAATAAAAATACCGCAAGACTTTTTTGACGACCTTATTATCAAAATAAAACTTAGAGATAAATAAAAAAATGTGTAAAGAAAATTCTTCTAAAATAAAATGATTCTGAAAGTTTGCTTTCGAAATATAAAATGTATCAAGCATTAAGGCTGTAAAAATTATAATCATTATAATACCATGCCAACTGCAACAGAATTTACACCAACAAACAATAAAACGAAAAAAGTGCTAAATAGATAAAAAAAAAGTTCAAAACGCTAAATTTTAATCACTTACTTCCGCTTAATTTTCAGAGTGACAGTGGTGTTGTGTTTTTTATCGAAAACCAAACAATCCGACCGACCTCAGTCGTCGTGTTTTTGAATTGAGAACTGTTTACATTCGTGAACTTTAATAGTGTTTCGTAAAGAAATTTAGGAATAAATAAATCAGCAGTTTTCCAGATATCCTGCAGCGGATTTTCAAATAAGTGGTAAGTCGTTTTATCTTTACTTTTCGCTTTTATAATTGGTAAATATTAAAGCACTATTTTAGGGTGAAATATATTTAAAATGTATGGGTATCATTTCTTGACTCAGATAGCTGCTTTTAAAATGATATTAAGCGTGTTTTCTTGCAAGTATTATTCATGTGAAAGTTTTACAATACCTTCAATGCCTCTGGGTTGGTTTTTGTAAATAAGCTGCTCATTAGTTACAACGTAACAAGTCGAACTCCTCATTGACCGTCTGTACCTCCGGACTAAACTCATGATGCGCAAAATCACGAGTATCTAAGAAAGTAAAAAATCAAGGTGATGCCCATTACCTTGATTTTTTAGTGTCTTTAGCGTGGTTTGGTTGTTTTTTTTTTTTTTTTTTTTTTTTTTTTTTTTTTTTTTTTTTTTTTTTTTTTTTTTTTTTTTTTTTTTTTTTTTTTTTTTTTTTTTTTTTAAATTTTTTTTTTTTTTTTTTTTTTTTTTTTTTGTTTTTGNTTTTTTTTTTTTTTTTTTTTTTTTTTTTTTTTTTTTTTGGTATGGGCTCATTTTTCCCTTCATTCCAATATGTTTGCATTTCAAACTCATAAACCCATATCAATTAATATATGAAGGGAATTTGCATGATCAAGCATGTCCAAAGAGACCTATTAGTTTACTCTTTCTGAAAAAATTCAGCTTTATCGAGACGGAGAAAAAACGCGTTTCACACCCAAAATATCCCACAAAATCATTCAATGGAGCTCAATAGAAGTCAAGCTCTCTTGTCATCGCTCTAACACTTGCCTGACGATTGCCAAGCACCATGTTCTTCACTTTTTTAATATATTCAGCAGTTGAAGATGTCGAGGCTCGCCCAGAATGACTAATGTCTTCAACGATCTCTCCACCGTTTTTGATATTTTTGTGCATTGTAAAAATCTCAATGCAGTACTGAGGTGTACCGACCATGTATAATCCAGTAAACCTTGGCGAATCAGTTGAAGGCGCCTTGGTAGGTGCTTCTGGTTGACTAAGGCACACTAACCTCATCTACACACATAAATCCAATCATTAATTTATGCCTATATTTGGTATTGATCCCATAAAGAAAATTTATGCACCCTTGCACTTACTAAACTCTCTTGAGCCAGCGCTCGATGCATTAATGCGATTAGCCCGAATGACAAATGCATTTTTCTGCATCCTTTTTCGCTGCGAAAGCGTACGTTTGCCTTGAACCACGGCAAGCTGGCATTTTTGGCTGTCCAAATAACGTTTGATTTATTATTGGTTGCTAAAAGAGTTGAAAGTCTAGCTGTTTACACAAACAACAACAAATACAAAAAGCATACTTAAAACGAATAACTCATATCCCGGCGCACTCACATACACACACGCTCATAAATGCACAAAGAAATTGCACTTCAAAAGGACAATAATAACACACGAGTGCGCTAGCAGCATTTTGCGCTGCAACAACAACATTTGCCGCAGCAACAACTACATTTGGCGTTTATTTATGACCAAGCGTCAGCGTTTAATGGCAGCCGTAGGGCATGGGACCAGACCAACAAAAACAAACAAATGCATTTAAAGGTGTGTGTGTGAATGATATATTTACCGTTATACATATAAGTAGCTTAGAAATCGCATCGTCAGCATTGTAAAAAATACAGGGTGATAAATTTTTAATTTTTTACAAATATTTATGAATTTTGGATTTTTTCTATAAAACTATTTTGAAGTGATGGAAATTATTTAAAATTAATTCAAACATTTTTAAAAACAAATAAAGTTTAATTTTGGATTTCTTCTTAATTTTTTTTTTATTTTTTTATTTTTCTATATACATATATACATATATGTATCTTTTTCAGCAAAATGTTTTTTCAGGTTAGAAACATAATTTTAAATAAAATAAATACAGGGTGACTCGTTTTGATTTTTTTTTAATTTTTTCTAAAAATATTTTTAAATTTTCGGTTTCTTCATAAATTTTTGTTTAAGTTTAGAAACACTATTTTATATAATTCATAATTTAAAAAAATACTTGGTGACTAATTTTGGATTTTCTCGTAATTTTTTTAATATATATTTAATTTCTGAATTTTCTCTTAAAACTATTTTAAGGTCATTTAAAGTAAATCAAGCATTTTTGGTAATACAGGATGATTAATTTTGGACTTCTTCTTAATTATTTTTTAATATTTCTAAAGTTTGGATTTTGTAAAAGTTTTTTATTTTTTAAGAAACTACGCGGTGGAAAAATTTTTATATTTACTTAATTTTCCCTACAAATATTTCTAAATTCTCTAATTTGCTAATTCAGAATATTTTTAACCGTCAAAATTTTTTTTAAATATTTTTTATTTCTACCCCTATGATATTTTTTGCAAAATATTTTTTTTTTTTTTTTAATTTAAAAGAATGTCTTTAAATAATGCAATATTCAAAAGAAAATACAGGGTGATTTATATTTAAATTTTTATAATATTATTTTTTTATAATTTTGAATAAAATTTTTAAATATTTATAAATTCAAAAAAAAGTACAGGGTGAATAATTTCGGATTTTTTAAAATAATTTTTATAAATTTTGTATTTTTCTAACAAAAATTATTTTTAATTTTCCAAAATACACTACAATTCAGACTAACGGTACATTTAGCCCATATACAAATTTTCTATACACACTTATAGCACCAATACATGTATTTTTTGTAAATGTTTGCAACAAAATGCTCGTCATTATTGCCGGGGTAAGATGGGTCTCCATAATGACGCTCATATTTCAAGCTGACACTCGGAAACGGTCAAGGGACCGCGCACATCAAACGAACCACGAACACGCACACACTCACACATACACACGAAATCGCATTGTTAGCTGGCAGTTATTTGTAGCTGCAAGCTGCACGAACAGCAAAGCTTTAATAATTGCCATGACCAGTGGATTTATGTGGCGCATTGTGGTCGCGCGTTGCGTCAGGAGGAAGTAATCGTTCAATGTGAGTGATTTATATAGCAAAACGAACGATGCAGCATTCTTCTGAAAAGTTGACGCATTAGCGGAGTTTAGATTAAAAATTGTACTCTATTTTTAAAGCGACCGCGATTAAGTGTTTACCAGGACAATGTTAAGAGGCTTTAGCGGTGTTAAACAGCAAAATATTATTACCTGTCGTGTCTGAATTTTTCAATAATTTATGAAAGTAGTTTTTCAAAATGTTACCTCAAAGTAAGTTTTCTTACTTTCTCTCTTGTTTTTTTTTTTTCTTTCAAAAATAATTATATTGTCACAAAAAATATTTGTTTCTGGGTATTGAGTATAATCAATAATAATTAAAAAAAAGAAAATTATAAACGTCATACTTCATTCCATGCTTTAAAGTTATAGAAAATTGTAGCATACATTTCGGCGTGCATGCGAAATATAGCATATTATTTTATAAAAATGTGATAGCGTAATTAGAGTAATAAATTGTATTTAAATAAATTGTATTAGGTTGCCAGTAACCAAAAATTGTGAAGTATTTTAAACTAAAATGTAGTACTATAATTATTATAGAGAATTTTATTTATTTCTTTAACTTAATTGTTTTGGTAGTACATCATTTTCGGCCAGAAAAGGAGAAAAGTTAAAAGTTATAGCTGACATTTCGGCGCGAACTTTAAAATTTTTATAAAAAAAAGACAGGTTATTGTCTTTAAAATTACGTCAATGATAGTGTAAGCGTAATTTTACAAAAATAGCTGCCAATACTAATACATAAAAATATAGTTTTTAACACTAAATATATTTTTTTATTTTTGACGTCTTATTTGAGGGGGATTTTCTCCCATCCAAGAACCAAACAACTAATAGTTCAAATATGCCAAGTCTGGAAAATGTGGTATGTGAGGTTGTGTATCCCATTCAAGATGCAAAGGCTTACGGCGAGTCGTAAAACTTGTATGAGGTCTCGCATTATACCTACCTTGTTTATTTATCAATTCTGGCCTATTCTATTTAATCACCTACTTTTTTCAGCCATCACTTTGTACAGCTAATCACTTCAGAATTAATCGTGGTATTGTCGTACAAAAGCTCATAAGTAACGATTCATTTAAAATCCCACCAAACAGCCAACATAACCTTTTCTTGGTGGCTATCGGCCTTCGATGTCGTTTGAGCTGGTTAATTCTTTTGATACCTTGTCATCTTGTGCTTTTTTCTTGAAAATAATAAATTTTTCATCCCCAGTAACCAAGCTTTTATAAAATGAATCACTTCTTTGACCTTTGATAAGTCTTTAATGCGACGAAGTAAATTTCCTACTGTAAGAATATGAGAAACCCATATATCAAGCTTTGAAATTAATCGTAGCCGTTTCATGTGCTTCTGAACGGTAGCGTTAGACAAATTTTAGCATTAAGCAAGCTCTCAAATTGTTGTTATTCGACGATTTGCATCAACCAACAACATTATTATATCCACATCGACTTCAAGATTCCCTCCAGGACCAGGACAGTGCGTCATAAAGATCGTAATTGCCGTATCGAAACTTTGCCACCGAAATTCGCAGAATAAAGCAGAATGGAAAAAACGAATGAAACAAATATGAATTGAATTTCTGTGGAGTCCATTATACTTACCTAAGGAAACTAAACAAATACAGGGATTTCCAATAAGAATGATATGATTTCTTTTAAAAAAAAAGGACTCTAGTAGTTTAGGAAAATCAAATGAGAAAAAAAATCAATACAATTAAGTTCTGAATAAAACATAATTTAAATGGTCTTCAAAACTTTTTTTATTGCTGACGAGCAAAGATTTCAAATACGCATTCAAGAAGTAGTTTAATAGTGTTAAACCACAACTTCTTGGAGGCAATTCAATGTTACAATTTCTTGAAAAAATCGAATCTCCAAACTTTTCTCGAAATAATTTGGTTGTTGAACAGGATGTCTGGCAAATATCTGCCTGCCTTGTTGGAATCTGATGTTCTCAAGATCAACTTCTTCCAATTGCAGCCA